ACATCAGTTTTCTAATTTCTGTAACTAATATGCGTTCATTCAACAATTTTAGAGAGAGATTAAAATAAGGTCTCTTCTATAACTGAGATTCTATAGTTTCATTAAGTGGAGCATAAGGGTGGCTCAGCCGGTTGAGCATCCAACTCTTGATTTCAGCTCAGGTCATGATCTCAGAGTTGTGAGATAGAGCCCCCATCACCTCCCCCCACCATGCCCCCTGTCAGTCTCTGTGCTGAGCATGGAGCCTGCTTAAGATTCTCTCTCTCTCTCTCTCTCTCTCTCTCTCTCTCTCTCTCTCTCTGCTCTTCTCCCCCACTTGCACGCGCTCTCTCTAAAATAAAAAAGTATATAAATTTAATTAAGTATGTGAATGCCTACTATGCACAAAACTTTACAGAATTCTATCCTAACAACCTTTTGTACTCTCTCAGCCTCCACTTTCTACTCCCTCACAGTTTGTCCTTACCTTCTATTGCCTGTTTATTTCTTCACCAATTCTATAGCATCTACGTATCTTTCATCTAATGAAATTATTCTGATTACATCTGTGCATTTTGTCTATGTGTGCCTGAATGTTAGCCTAAGCTGGTGTTAATGGGATACTGCCATGGTTCAAAACATTTTTTTAATATTTATTTATTTAAATTTTAGTCCTTTTTAAAAAAAGTTTTTATTTATTCATTTAAGTAATTTCTATACCCAACTTGGGGCTCGAACTCATGACCCTGAGATCAAGAGTCACACACACTTATGACTAAGCCAGCCAAGTGCCCCGGTTCAAAACATTTTTAAAAGTTGTTCTTTTGGAGGGCATTGGGGGGGGGCGGGCCATGTTGGGTATAGAAATTACTTAAATAATTTTTTTATTGTTCTTTTAGATTTACCTTCAGATCTAGCAGCACATTCCTTCCTCATGTTTTGAGGACTAATGTGACTTTTGAAAGCAGTCAGCAGTCATTCAAACCCAAGTATGATGAATATCAAGAGAGATCAAACTGAATAATACTGCAAAATGTAGTAGACTATAAAGTAACAGGACTGGTTTTCTATGCAGCTTCAAATGATTCCAACATCATCAATGGTAAAGGTATATACTTTCTCAATGTTGATTATTTTCAAAGACTATCACTTCCCTTGGCTACTTGGTTATCAGAGTTTGATCACAGAAAAAATGTTTATGATGTAATATTAATTGAAAATCTTACAATTCTAAATTATGTATACTATGATCTACAACATAAAAATAAGAAAAAGTAAAAATAAAAGTATGCAAACAAGATTTGGAAGATAATATGTAAATAAATAATGCTGTGAGAGATTAGCTTTAACTTCTTTCAAAATCATTTCATGTTGTGATTTTTTTTGTGTGTGTGATTTTGAATTTTTTTTAGTGTTTATTTTTGAGACAGAGAGACAGAGCATGAGTGGGGGAGGG